AATATTTGTACAAGTGGAATTTGCTGGGTGTTGTGGTAACTTATGTTTAACTTTTGAAGCAACTAACAGTTTTCCAAATGGCTATGCCATTTAACTTTCCCACCACCAATGTAATGTATGAGGACTAAATTTCAGATAAAAGAGGAGCTCAATATCAGCAAGAAACAGTACACTTTTGACTTCTCAGTAATGTTAAAGAAATATTTCCTATTTTCTGCTATTTAAAGTTTGTGTTTTATTACAGTACTTCTATGTCTTCAACATTTACATGGAAAACTTTGATCCCTTTGGAATTTATTTTGATGAATTGACAAGTTTGTAGAAGAACTTACTTTTATTTCTGATACCAACATTTTCTCCATTCCCATTTATTTAAAAGTTCCTCTTTTGCCACAGATTTAAAATTTTATGTTTCTATGTTGTAAATTTGTCTGTGATTTTGGATTCATTTCTAGATTTTTCTATTTCTCTATTCTCTTTCATTGTATGCTTCTGTTCTTGTGTCTATGTGACACTTCTTTTTTTAAAAAAATGGTTTTACTTATTTAGGCCTCTCGTACACTACTCCACATGCATTTAATAATTTGATCAGTTATGACGTGTATATCTTGGTGAAAACATCACACAATAAAAGTCATGAAAAAACATTTTCTTGTGCCCTTCTTTTGTGCCCCCATTCCTCACCAAGCAACTGATATGTTTTCTGTCATTATACCTTGGAGTGTCTCGAATTTTGATCATATGTAAATATACTCATTTTGTCTTTTGCTCAGCATAGTTATTTTGAGACACATTTATTTGTTGTCTTTAATCATTAGTGTTTTTTATTGATGAGAATTTTGTTATATAAACATTCACTTGACATCCATTTATCTGTCTTTGGACGTTTGAGTTGCTTCCAGTTTTTGACTATTATAACGACTGTGTGAACGTTTGTATGTAAAGCTGTGTGTATATTTGCTGTTATATCCTTTGGGTGGGATGGAACAACTGATGTTCTTGGAAATTACTAGACTATTACCCAAAGTGCTTGTACCATTTTATATTTCCACAAGAGGTGCATGAGGTTTTTTTGTTTTTGTTTTTGTTTTTGTTTTGGCTCATCCATGTCCTCATCAACACTTTGTATTGTGACTATATAATTTTAGGCAATCTTATATATAAAGGAAAATATAGAGATATGTACTTTGTAAATATATATAAATTAAATGCCTAAATTTTCATTGAACATTGGTCTAGATGCAGCTCTCAAGTTATGGTTTACATATAGTCAACAGGCAAATCAGACTTGAGTAGATTACTCTCTAGTCAAGTGGTGAACTCATCCTATATTTGAACGCCTCCAGAGCAAAGTCTGAGGTTGTCCAAAGAAGCATTTCTCCCTGAGATTTAATCTTAGAAAGCTTGCCTGAGTTTTCAGCCAGGAGAATTCAGACTCAAAACTAGAATCTCATCTCTTGCTGAATTTACAGCCTATGGAGCCTATCTTATGATTTTGAATTTACTATCCCCCACAATCATGTGAGTCTATTCCTTTAAATAAATCATTCTCTCTTTATAAAAAAAAATAGCTGTATCATATTGTGATTAATTTCCATCTCCATTAAGATGCAAATTAAAAATTAAAAAAAAACATCTTTCCATATGCTAGTTTAGTCCTTTTCCATGAAATGTCTGCACAAATATTTTGCCTACTTTATATAAATGTATATATAAAATATTTATACAATGTACATTCATGCACATCTCTCTGTATAGTTCATCTTATTAATGTGAATTCCTTTTATATTCTAGCTATAAGTTCTCTGCCAGATGGATATTTATCAAATGTTTTCTCCCAGTCTGTGGATTTTCTTATTACCTTTTGAAAAGAATATTAATGAAGTCCAGCTTATTTGTTTTTAATTTATTCTTGTTGTATTTAAATAGATTTGGAGACAACTTTACAACAGTGATTTTTACAGTATGTAAATATAGCATATTCTATGGTCTGAATGCCCCCTTCCCCCCAATTCATGTGCTGAAATTTCATTCCCATTGTAGTGGTATTAAGATGGGGCCTGAGAATGGAACCACCATTTAACCCAGCTATCCCACTCCTTGGTTTATACCCAAGGGACTTAAAAATCGGCATAGTATAGTGATACAACCACGTCAATGTTTATAGCAGCTCAATTCACATTAGCTAGACTATGGAACCAGCCTAGGTGTCCCTCAATAAATGAATGGATAAAGAAAATGTGATATATATACTCAATGGAATATTACTCAGCTTTAAAGAAGAGTAAAGTTATGGAATTTTCTAGTAAATGGTTGGATTTGGGAATATCATACTAAGCGAAATAAGTCAATCCCACAAAATCAAAGGCCGAATGTTTTCTCTAATATGTGGATGCTAATTCACAATAAAGCGGGGGGCACTAGGGAAGAATGTGTTACCTTAGATTAGGTAGAGGGAAGTGATGGGAGGGGAGGGGATGTGAGGATAGGAAAGACAGTAGAATGAAACAGACAGACATTATTACTGTATGTATATATGTGACTACATGACCAATGTGATTCTACAACATGTACACTCAGAAAAATGAGAAATTATATCCCATCTATGTATGATATATCAAAGTGCATGAATGCATTTTACTGTCATGTATAACTAAAACAAATTTAAAAATTAAAAAATGATATAGTGAATAAAATTATAAATCAGATGGTATAAATGATAAAGTTGAAATTCTAAAAAAAAAAAAAAAAAGATGGAGCCTGAAGCAAAGTACTTAGGCCCATTTTTGTCCTTCTACTTGAGAACAGTGTTCTCCCCTTTTCTGTCATGTGAGGATGTAAGAAAAAAGCCCTTACCAGACAGTAAGGGCCAGTGCCTTGACCTTGGCTTTCCAGGCTGCAGAACTACAACAAATTTCTATTGTTTATAAATTACCCAGTCAGTGGTATTTTATTATAGCAGAACAAGGTACTAAGGATATTTCTTCAGTTTTTTAGGTTATTTCTCTGAGGTGTTTTAAAAATGTTGGTCAGAAAACAATTATTCTTAATGTATCAAATTTAGCCCATGGCTTGCTTTGTTATGGTTTCTGAGATAAAAATAATTTTAAAAAAAATTTTTAGTTGTAGATGTTCACAATACCTTTATTTATTTTTTTATGTGGTGCTAGGAATCGCACCCAGTGCCTCACACATGCTAGGCAAATACATTACCACTGAGCCACAACTCCAGCCCAAGATAAAAATAATTTTTACATTTTTAGAGGCTTGTGAAAATTCAGAAAAAAGTGGGAGAAAAACTAAATATTTTATAGCTGGTCTCTGACAGTAAATAGTTTGCCAGTCCTATTGTAAAGAATTGTGTATGGACATTAAATATAATTTGTTAAATTCATTTCCAGGTATTTCATATTTGTGATGCTATTAAAAACATGTTTATAAGAAGTTTATTGAAAATATCACATTCCTGGTACAAGGTAATTGTGTTATGGATTTTCAATTGAATAAATGAAGGAAAACATTTTCATTATCAGAAATAAACTTCTGAATCCGTTTATTAAAGGATAAGATGACAGATCAGCAAAAAGAAGACATTCTTTCAAATTTTAGTATGTGAAGATTCCCTTTTTCTTGACCTCCTGCCTCTGGTCTCTCCCCACACTCTTGACAAAAACTTCTGGCACCTGAAGGATGTGGATCTCCTGGCATTGTTTTTAATTTTTCTTTCTTCTTTTTTTTTTCATTGCTGATGGATTAGTTAGGGTTTTCCAGGAAAACAGAAGCAAGAGGATGAAGAGATATAATAACCTATTTGAAGGAACTGATTCACACATGATTGTGGGAGATAGAAAATTTAAAATCATAGGACAGGCCCCACAGGCTGAAAGTTCACGGAGATGAGATTTCAGTCTTGAGTCTGAATTCTCCTAGGCTGAAAACCCAGACAAGGTTTCTAAGTTGAATTCTTAGGGAAAATGGCTTCTTTGGCAAACCTGAATTTGCTCTTGAAGGCTTCAACTGGTATTACTAGAGGGTCATCTACTCCAGTGTACAGAATTGCCTGTTAACCACCATCTAAAATATAACTTCGTAACACCACCTAAAGGGTGTTTGACCAAAGCTTAGGCATTTCCTCACATCCTCTATGTAGGAGACTCCTCCACCTGTTCTTCCACAGAGAGGGTAGCCTTTTCAGCTCTATACTTGATGTGTAGATAGGGGCTAAGAATTGGGACCCCCATTTCATTTGGTCTTGGACTTTTGTCTTGCCTTACGTCTGCACAATCTCAAGGTCTGGGACTATACTAATCAAAAAGTGACCCTCAGACCAGCAATACCAGCCCACCTGGGGCTTTATTAAAAATGCAGAAATCCCTCAGAGCAAAGTTGTCCTTTGGGACTTTCCCCTTTTGACTTCCTTTCTTTTCCAACCAGCTGTACACTTACATGTGCCCTTTTCTGTGTACAGGGGGAAAAAAAGTTTTTTAAAAGTCGCAATCTTAGGAGTAACTGCATTTAAGTCTTGCCGTTTAAATCAGAAAAACAACCAAGCGAAGTCAATCTCGGTTTGTTAGGCGTTTGCCAGCATGTGTGCTGGGACCGGCTTCCGGCGGTCGCCCTTTGGTTGGTTGCAAACTATTAAACACACCAGTGAGAATAAAATACGTCGGTACTATTGCGCCTCTGCCAATTTCTTCCCAAGTCCCTATCAAACCTCCCGTCTTCCGTTCCCCTGCCGCAGCAAAGCTTCGAGGATTCAATCACGGGTGGCCACCCAGCCACCAAGAAAACCCGGAGTAACGGATCTGGGGAGTAACCAGTGTTCCCAAAGCGGCAGAGGAACCGACCGAGCATGCGTAAGGAAGGGTGCGCGCGCGTGCGCATTGGTTCGCGCAGGGGCGCGCGCCGTCGCTCTGGGCGGCTTGGAGGCTGCGCGCGCGGTTGACGTGTTCGGTGGTTTGGAGGCGGCGAGACTCCGGGAGGGGAAGGAGCAGCGGGGAGGGGGGTGAGGTGGGTGGCTGAACCCGGAAGTGGGTAGGCGCTGGAGCGAGCGCGCCCAGAGTGGAGTCAGCGGCTAGAGCCAGCGGGGGAGCCCTGGGTTCCCGGTAATGAATCTGTGGGGCGTTTGCCTAGGGATACTGGGTGGGAAGGGTAACGGGTTTCTGGTAGGCGAGCGCATTCTCCACCTGGCCCGGGCCTTGAAAGGCTCTTTTGCTTTTTTTAGTCGTCCCTGTGTTTGACCCCACTCTTCTTGCTCTGAGCCCCTTCTGGGGCCGTCTCCTGCCGGGTGGTTTTGGGAGAGGGACGCTTTAGGTCTCTGAATAGCTGTGCCTTGCCCCGCGTAGAAAAGCATGCTAATGGAAAGACTCGGATTTCGTGGCCGCGACGGCCTTATTGTCACTATTTCAGCGCCCCCAAAACATGACTGCAGCCCCCTTCAACCTCCGTCGTCAAGGATCTTAGAACTCTCCCGCTTCTGTCCAGTTATTTCCACCCTGTTCGTAAATCAGGCCTGGAAGGTGTGCTCTGGCTTCCTTTAAAAATTATTCTTTTGTTGGCTGTCTTTTCTAACCTGGCCCTCCTTGTTCTCCGCCCTAAAATCTTAGCCACGAATGAATGTGAGTGTGACTTGATGGTAACTTAGTTATAATTTAGGAGGGTGCTGACAAATGCCTGTGACTGATTTAAGGTTGCTTTGCCTGGAGTTATTTTACATGATTCTTACTTTTGCAGACCATGAAACCCTCAGGCACCCCTGTCCAGAAGCTGTTGTCCAAGACAATCTAGTTTTCCTTTATGAATCTCTTAAGACACTTATGAAGTTTCTTGTTCTGAAATTGCTGTACTGCAATGAAGAAAAGGAGAAAGGTTACTTCAAATCTTGACGAGAAGATCCATCTTGGTTATAAAGATTCTTCGGAAGGAAATGTTGCAGTGGAATGTGACCAAGTGACCTGTACTCACTCTACAGAGAGACCTACAACTGAAGCTCTGCACTGTTATCAGGAACTTCCTCCCTCTCCAGATCAGAGAAAGCTTTTGAGTTCTTTGCAGTATAATAAGAATTTGCTAAAGTATTTAAATGATGATAGACAGAAACAACCATCTTTCTGTGATTTACTTATCATAGTAGAAGGAAAAGAATTTAGTGCACATAAAGTAGTCGTTGCTGTTGGCAGTAGTTATTTTCATGCCTGTTTGAGCAAAAATCCAAGCACTGATGTTGTCACTCTGGATCACGTAACACATTCAGTTTTTCAGCATTTGCTTGAATTTCTTTACACATCAGAATTTTTTGTGTACAAATATGAAATACCTCTTGTTTTAGAGGCTGCAAAATTTTTGGACATTATAGATGCAGTAAAGCTGCTAAATAATGAAAATGTTGCCGCTTTTCAATCAGAGCTAACTGAAAAGTCATCACCAGAAGAAACACTAAATGAATTAACTGGAAGATTATCAAATAATCATCAGTGCAAATTCTGCAGTAGACATTTTTGTTACAAAAAGTCTTTAGAAAATCATTTGGCTAAAACTCATAGGTCCCTTTTGTTAGGGAAAAAACATGGGTTAAAAATGCTGGAGAGAAGTTTTTCTGCAAGAAGATCAAAAAGGAATCGGAAGTGCCCTGTTAAGTTTGATGACACCAGTGATGATGAACAAGAAAGTGGTGATGGGTCAGACAATTTGAATCAAGAAAGTTTTGATAAGGAAAAGTCAGATAAAAATGATTCTGAGGATCCTGGAAGTGAATATAATGCTGAAGAAGATGAACTAGAGGAGGAAATGTCAGATGAATACTCTGACATTGAAGAACAAAGTGAAAAAGATAATGATGCAGAAGAGGAACCTGAGGCTGGTGATTCTGTAGGAAGCATTCACGAGGGGTTAACTCCAGTAGTCATTCAGAACAGTAACAAAAAAATATTGCAATGTCCTAAATGTGATAAAACATTTGACCGAATAGGTAAGAAAACTTTTGTTTCTTATCACTTACTTTACATGGATATTTAAAGGTAATAATTGGAAACTGAAGTTTGAAAATAAAAAGTGCTTAAGTAGGGAAGATAATTTTCTTTTCACTGTGTACTTTATCCTATTATTTTAAATTTGTTGTGATTCAGGAATCATGTTAAGTATTTATATTACCCTTTATTTTTTCTTTGTCATGTCCTAATAGGTAATAGATTATTAGTTCATGTATTTAATATGAAAGACTCCAGAGAATCAATAATTATCATGAACAGCTTTGATTTATATTCCAGTTTTGAAGATGAGTGCTAACTTGAGTCATTACAGAAAATGTAATTGGATTATATTTAGTAATTTGTTTACTGTTTTCCTTTTGTACATGATAATAAGTTGTAAATATAGACACCTTTCTAGTACTTTTTAGAATTAGAAATGTTTTAAATTAGACTATAGTGAAGAATAAAATTATACTGTAATTGAATAACTTTGGATAGATAATTTAGGAACTACCCTAGTTATTAATTCGAATTATTATAAAAATGAATAAATCAAAATTTTCCCTTTTAAAAGAGTATGTAGGAAATGTGGTCCATAACCTGAGGTTTTATGTCAGTGCATATTTAATTTTGAGATGTCAGATATTTGCTAGTAAAGCAATTTTTAAAGAAGTCACATAAACTATTTAATGCATACTCTTTAATTGTAGTAGTTAAGCTATTTACGTGTAAATTGAAGTTACGAAATTGTGAAATATATTCTACCACACATAATGATAAGAACATAATGAATTTAATCTGAGTTTGTTTAATATGTTCACAGGTGTATTATACTTTTGAATTATTATGTTATTGATATAGGTGGAAATTGGTTTTATAAGGTATTAATCATTTGCTATCAAAATATAGCTACAGCATACAGTAGGCATTAAAGTAGTAACTTTTTGCTTTTTATAATGCTTTTTGAATACATTATCTGTGAATCAGAGTACTTTTGATAATCCAGTTTGGCAATTATTTATTAATTTTTTATTGTGAAGCTCTATGCCAACATGAATAAAATAACTTTTCAGTCAATCGGGAGAGCTCATTACAAGACACTTGTTAAAGTCAGGCTAGATATTTGCTGTTGAGAATTAACAAAGTTAAAAGAATGTATGTATTTAGGAAAGAACAGCTTTTGGGGGTTTATGTACCTGAGAACATTTCATCTTTCTAATGGATTCTGCATCTTTGACCTTTGTACCCTTAGCACATGCTTCCTGTATCTACTTTAATTGACCTAATTTCACTTGGAGATGAGTGAGCAAGGGTCAGTTAAAACATGCATTATAGATCCAGCACATAGATCTTAAATTGTCCCATCCAACACACTAGGCCTGTGAGATACTTTCTTAGAGAGGGATTCTGGATTGCAATACAACTGGGAAACTATATAATAATCTGCATTAATTCTGCCAAATTCTATAAACATAAGCTATGGTAATGTCTGACTGCCTAGGTTTTTTTGAATTCAAGTCTTGGGTGATTTACTTAACCTGTCTATGCTTTATTCTCATAAAGTGAGACGATGCTAATATGATACTCATAGTACCTTCTTATTGGGGTTATAATGGGGATTAAATGTGATATTTCTAGGAAATCACTTAAACTATTGTACAAAATGTATGTGTTCAAGGAATTCTGGCTGCTATTACATACTTACTGAGCCTCTAAACTACCAAACACAGATAAACCAGTAGGAAATGATATATTCCCTGTCCTTAAGAATCTTAGAACGTGATGTGTACATGCAAAGAGACGATCATATGATAATAATTATTAAAAGATAATTTTATGAGGATAAATACAGAAGACTCAGGCAATCAGGAGTGGTTTCCAAAAGCGATGATATTTGAGCTAAGACTTAAGAAATAGGGAGAAATTTTGAAGGCAGAAGGATCAATGTGTAAAGGCATTAAGGGATGTTGATTCTGGAAATTGCTAAAGTTTGTCTGGTTTCAAGATGGGCAGGGGAGCCTAATAAAAGTGATAGAAGATGAGGACTGGCAAGTAAGTGGAGGTCAGATTTTGAATGCCTTGTATTTGAATGGCAGAGGAGTTTAGATTTTATCTGATGAAAACTGTGTGAAAAAAACTTGATGAAGAAAATGACAATCTTTAGTAGTTTTAGAAAGATGCTGACTTCAGTTTGGAAAAGGAAAGACTGAATGAGAAAGTTTGGGAGACAAGAAGGAGCATGTTGCCATGCTCTGGCACACGCCTGTAAGCCCAGCAGCTCAGGAGGCTGAGGCAGGAGAATCATGAGTTCAAAGCCAGCCTCAGCAAAAGCAGCTCAGTGAGACTCTGTCTCTAATTAAAATACAAAGTAGGGCTGGAAATGTAGCTCAGTGGTCAAGTGCCCCTCAATTCAATCCCAAAAAAAAAAAAAAAAAAAAGGAGCATGTAGCAGAGGACTAGAAGCATCAGTGCTTGGACTAGATGAGGGCCTTGGGAATGAAAAGTGGATGAGGGTAGAGCAGAGTGATTTACTGAATGTAGACAAAGTAGATTGGTGATGGATAGAATAAAAAGAATATGTAGAAGATGTATCCTAAGTGTGTTACCATAGCATCCCCAAAATAGTTCAAGGGCTACCTTCCAGTCATCCTTTTCATATCACACTTATTCCTTTCATGGAATTTATAAATGTTTGTTATTTTAAGCATTTCATTCAATTGTGAATCTGAAGCTTATGAATTTTATTCTTGGCTAGTATCCTTTGTAATATATCCGGTCATTTTAAATTATGAGTTTTCAGTAAGCACTTGCTTTCTTTAAAACTAGGTTGAGAGGCTGGTGCCTCTCTTTACATTGAACTTGTAAGAAGCCAGTTAAGCTTTCTTATCAGCTTCTAACTTGGCTGCCTTGGAGTGGGTTTATGAGAGATGAAAAGCTCTGAAACCTGCTGGAACCATTAGCTCCACAGTATATAATTTAATAAATTGATTCCATTTCTTTGGATCTCTTATCTTTTCTGATATATTTAATAGTTGCTTGGAGTAAGACTGCTGATCCTGTTATATCATTCCTTAGGCTACCAGCTGTCCTTTTCTCAGGGGATTTTCATGCAAATAAGAGTCCTTTGACCTCTTTCCTTATACTAAAATCCTAGTGGGTAAAAAAGCAAAAATAGCAAGATGACATATGGGGTGCAAGAGAAAATCTGGATAATTTATCTTTCCTAGACAGAACTCAAAATTTTCCTTGGATTAAACTCACAGTATCTTCTAGAATTTAAAAATAAATGTTTTTTAACACCCTCCCCCCTTTTTTAATTGAATGTGACTTTATAGTCCATACTGACAAAGATTACACTTGGTTCTTAAAGAAGAGTTATAACAATGGCTTAATTCTCTAATGCCAAGTATTTTAATTACATATTTTTTAGGATATGGTATATGAATAGATTCAAGGTACAATTTAATGTTTAACAATATTTTGTATTATATATATGTATTACGCGTGTGTGTGTGTGTGTATATATATATATACATACGTGTGTGTATAATGAACTAATTTGGTGATGCGTCTCTTTGCAAAAACTGCATGCAGATTCTGACAGTGATAATTTTGCATGACCCATATTATGCAATAAATTCTGAACACCAGGACAGATTTGTTCCTTGAAGTGACACTATTTTTTAAGTTGAAACTTCACTAAATTTGAGTGAACATTTAGATTTTATACATTATTGTTGAATACCCCCCGCCACACACATACATTCACCCCTACCAGTTGCTTTAAACATGAAATTAATTTGGAGACTTAACTTTTCCCCCATTAGCCTCTAAAGATAAACCTAGATAAACCTCCTCTGAATCCATCATTTTCTCAGGGTTTTCTCTCTTCTCTTATTCAGAAATTCGAATTTTAAGCTATAATAGGTCCTGCAGTGATTATGTGCATAAACTTTGAATTAATAACTTAAGCATAGTGTTTTCACTATTGAGATTTTAATGTCATGATGAATTATTTAAGTTTCTATATTTTCATTGATCTTTTGTCTTTGCTGAATTTATTTAAAATATTTTCAAAAGATCATTAGATTTGTCTAATTTGGGCTATTTCAGTTTAATTTTCTATTTTCTTTTTCTTGCTTAAATCTTAAGTCTCCTGGTCTGTAGGAAAATGGAAGCTTTATAGTCAAAATAGTTTTTATTTTTAATTTGCCATTTTGAAAGTTTTAATATTTAGCTACATTAGGTTTAATTTTTTATTTGAAAACAAGAAAAAACTTCTTTAAATACAAAGGAAAATGCTACTAATCTAATATAGCATCTGTATTTTCATAGAAAATAAAGATTGGTGCAGTTCTTCATATGAAATTACTGTTCCTGTTCACTTGCTAATACAGATGAGATTTAAGCATTAGGAAGTTGATAAATTATCTTTCTGTTTTTTAAGAATCTGTACTAGACATGCACATTTAATCCCCATTTAAAAAATATTCCCCCAAAACACATCATTAATCATTTAAATATCAGATGTATATTCTTAATTTGTTTTACATACTTTCCCATGAGTTTGTATTTACATAATCTTAAAACTAAGGGCTGGAGATATAGCTCAGTTTGGTAGAATGCTTGTCTTGTATGCATAAGGCTCTGGGTTCAATCCCCAGCACCACAAAAACAAAACAAAAGAAAAAAAAAAATGGATGTGTAACTGATGTGAATCTGCAATCTGTGTATGGGGTGAAGGTGGGAGTTCATAACCCACTAGAATCAAAGTGTGGAATATGATATGTCAAGAAATTTGTAATGTTTTGAACAACCCACAATAAAAAATTAAAAAAAAAAAAAAAAAAAAAAAAAAAACCTATCAGTTCAAAAAAAATGATATGTGAAAACTTTCATAATCAAATAAAACTTTTTTAAAATTCCATCTAGTGACTCCTGTCCTCGTCCAGCATTAGATCTGATCCCTTAAATACAGTAGGGGAAGTAGTGGAGATAGGATATTTATATGCATGTGTAGATGGGAGGGTATGCCCTAGAAGTGGCAGAGAGAAAACCGAGATACTAGATAGTGTTAGTAGTGGCAAGTGGAAAAAGCAAAGTCCTTTCAGTGATGTCAGATGAAACCCTAGTTTGATCTATTATTATAGCACATACTCAAATCTGTTATAATTATCTATAACAGATAATCATAATTACAGATTTATATTTGAGGTATACCTACTTGTCCATATTGTGACTAGCAAGCCATATAATCCATATGATAATAATAAAAATAACAGATTGTTATAGTGCTTACTTTATACTAGAATGCTTTAAGTTTTATCTGTGTATTAATTCATTTTCTTACAGCCCCATGAAGTATTATTAACTTGGATACAAAAAGGTTAAATTTTTTCTGGCTTTCTTGAACACAGTAGGGGAAGTGGTAGATGTTGATTATTAATATACATGTATAAATGGGAGGGTATGTTTTAGCAAAATGGCTGAGAATTATTTAAATTTCTGAAATTGAGGATTTGGGTGTATATTTAACTTTGCTAAATCATGACGTTTTATTCCACTGTCAGATTTCATTCACAGTGTAGCAAATGTGCTCAATTTAATTTTAATTTCTCTCTTTTGGTAGGGAAATATGAAAGCCACACCCGTGTACACACAGGTGAGAAGCCCTTTGAGTGTGATATTTGTCACCAGCGTTATTCGACAAAGTCTAACCTAACTGTTCACAGAAAGAAGCACAGTAATGAAACAGAATTTCATAAGAAGGAGCACAAGTGCCCTTATTGTAATAAACTTCATGCAAGCAAGAAGACTTTAGCCAAGCATGTTAAGAGGCAAGTATTATCTTGCTTCTATTATATACAATATGGTGCTTTCTAATGTAAGCATGTAGTAAACTAAAAATAGAACTAAAAATATCTATGAAAATGCTTATCTCCAATTCTTTCATTGCTTAATATTTTGCAGACTACAGATTAAGAAGGGCAAATATTAATTCATTCATGTTTTTTGTTTATGGTATTGAGATAAGTTTTTTTTGATGTTGAAACAGGAATATAGTCTGTAACAGGTTTTAAGGTAGAGCATTTGATTATGTTGTTTTCTGTTTTGGGGTTGGATAAGAATGTCTTCAGAAATATGTGGTTTTAGAATTATAAGAATTTGCTTTACATATTTAATGTGTGAAAGATTGTGAGAAAATATTTAATATTGTATTGCATATTAGCTCTAAAAAATAAATTTACTGAAATGTGGAGTAAAAAAATGTAATCAGTTACTTTGCAGGTTATTTATAAATGGCTAGGGTTCCTGAATATTTTTAAAATATGGCTAAATTTTTTTTTATTTCTGCATAAACTGAGGTTTAAGTATAACTTTGTTAAAAATCATGATGATAATCTATATTCTTACCAGAGATGCCTATCACTTTAAGAAAAAAAATCAGTGCCTGATTCTTATAATTACAGTTAGTGGATTTATATGTTATATTGACTTAACTAGTATCATCTTTTCCTAATAATTTTTATTTTTCTTTGGTAGATTTCATCCGGAAAATGCACAAGAATTTATTTCCATCAAGAAGACTAAGAGTGAAAGTTGGAAATGTGATGTAAGGGTTTTTAATTTGTATTAGAAATACAAAGTAAATATAATGTTGCCTTTTGGGAAAGAAAGGTGATTAGGTTTTTTTGTTTGTTTGTTTTGCAGTGCTGGGGATCAAACCCAGGTCCTTTGGTGTGGGGGAGTTGCTCATGCTAGGCTAGATTTTAAAGCAACATAACTGAACTTATCTCACTTTTAGTATCTTTCTTTTTTGTAAAATTAGTCTAGTGGTTTTTATAAATTAATCCTGGTGAGTTAGTTTTGGATGGTAGATCTGATTAGAAATCCTAGTTTTTATTGATACTGAAATCACTATACCAGGTATTTACAGTTGGGTATATCATCTATGACATTATTTTTGCAGAGTTGAAGTGTTAGAGTTGCTTCCCCCCAACTCCCACCCATTTGTGGTTATCTGTTGCTGCATAATAAACCACCTTAAAAATTTAGTGTACTTAAAACAACTATTGTGTTGTATCTTACCTTTTTGTGGGACAGGAATCCAAATTTGGGGCAGAGCTTTGCTAGGTAATTCTTCTGTTTTACATGGTATCATTTGAAGTCATTCAGTTGTTTTTAGGTGATTGTTTTTAGGTGGTGATCGGACTGGTTTGGTTTGGGGCCATTTCCAAAGTGACTCAATCACCTGGTTGGCAGCTTGGTGTTTTCTGACAACTAGGATTTCAGCAGGAATGCACCAATAACCTAGAGTCTCCTCTTCTTTTTTATTAGACTACATCAACTTCCTTCTTGTATGGTATTTGGGTTCTAAGACTGATTATACTGTGTGTTTTGAGAAGCCTAGTAAGAACTGCAAAGTTAGAGCCTAGCCTCAGAAGTCACATATCGTAACTTCCACAACAGAAATCATCATCCAACGAGTCATACAGCCAGGGCAAATATAAGGGGAGGGGAATTAGATTTCATGTTTTAAGTGGCAAGGAATTTGTAGGAAAAATTATTCTGTTACACTCCTGAAATATTTTTTGAGTATTTAGATGAATATGTTTAATATGTTGTATTGTTATTTTTTCTTCTTTATAACAAGGATTTAATTTATATACATAGCAAAATTCTCAGTATTCTCACCATTTCTTTGATTTCTGTTGCTAGAAATTGAATTTGTTATTCGAATCTACATAAGATGATGTCTTCCCCTAAGTTTATCTTCTGTGGCTATAAAATGATGATATTGATAATTATGTCTACTTCATAGGATTATTGTGAAAATTAAATATGTTTTGTGAATTAGCCTTGTGCTTTATGTTACATTGTTGTTTCATATATTTTTTCTATTTCTGATATATGTTACATTTCTTTAAGAGTTGTGTTTCTTTCTGATCACTTCAAGAGAAAAATTTTGAAATTATTTTTCTGTGATTTCTTGTTCATTTTTCAAATCAAATATATGGCAGCATTGATAAAACCTTTTTATTCCCGATACATAAATTGTTTAAACTATATATTGAAATTAAGAATTAAAATATATGTTGAATTAAGAAATTACTGTCTAGAATTAAGTAAAATTATTTTATAGCTCTATTAAACATATAAGGAGTTGAAACTCAGTTAGCTTTATAGCTGATACAAAATCATTCCTTGGAGTAATTCCTCCAAAGTTTTTTTCCTTCACATAATTTGATTGTACTTTTGGTAAGTTTTCTGTTTGTAGAAATTTCTTACTTGAATATATATATATATTTTTTTTTCTCATTATGACCTTGTATTTTAGTTTTTAATTAAGGTTTCCTTGCACTTTATATACATTCATTTAGATTTGTAAGAAATCTTTTACAAGAAGGCCACATTTGGAAGAACATATGATTTTACATTCTCAAGATAAACCTTTTAAGTGTACCTATTGTGAAGAACATTTTAAATCAAGGTTTGCACGGTTGAAGCATCAGGAAAAGTTCCATCTAGGTAAGGAAGTTAAGTTTTTTTAAAGCACCCATGGCAATTATTGATTATTATTACATCATGTTGGAGGGGACTATTGAAGTACTCTTTTTTCTTCTAAAAGTGCCTATTTTTTAAAAGTAATTATTTCCCATTATGCCCCCTGGCACCACATATGCATAACATCCCCGTTATTATCATTGCCCAACAAAATAGTACATTTGTGTAATTTATGAACATCCAAGTTTTGGTAGTTATGAAAAAAGTTGCTATGAATATTTGTGTGCAAATTTTTGTGTGGACATAAGTTTTCAATTCTTTTGGGTAAATCCCTAGCAGCATAAGTACTGTATTGAATGGTAAGATTATACTTGGTTTGTAAGGAACCACCATCATCTCTCTTCCCAAGTGGCTGTGTCATTGTACATTTCCACTAGCCATGAAAGAATTCCTGTTGCTTCACATCCTTGGTATCTGTTAGTCAGCTTTTCATTGTTGTGACAAATTATCTGGGGGAAAAAAAAAGACCCAAAGAAGGAAAGTGTTATTTTGGCTTACGGTTTCAGAGGTTTTAGCCCATTTTCGGCTGGCTCCATTGTTTTAGGCCTGTGGTGAGGCAGTACATGATGGTGGAAGGGCATGGTAGAGCAAAGCTGCTCACCTCATATTGATTGGGAAGCAGAGAGAGGAAGGGACCGGGGACAAGATATATCCTTCCAGGGCATACCCCCAGTGACGTGTTTCCCCCAGTGAGGGACCACCTATAGTTTCCACCACCTTCCCAAAATGCCATCAAATTAGGAATCCTTTCATGGGCTCATCCACTGAATCATGATCGATCATATTCCAAAACCCCAATGCTAAACACTGCTGTACTGGGACCAAGCTTTCAATACATGAGCCTCTGGAGGACTTTCTAAATGGTAACTATAACAACAGAATTTAGTATTGTCAGTATTCTGAATTATGGCCATTGTAATAGGTGTTTAGTGGTATCTCATTATTTTAATTTATGTTCCTAATTACCTATGATGTAAAGCATCTTTTTATGTTTATTTGCTATTTGTGCATACCTTTGGTGTGATGGATGTCTACTAGATCTTTGGCCCGATTTTTAAAAAAAAATTTTTTTAAGTTGTAGATGAACACAATACCTTTAATTTATTTATTTTTATGTGGTGCCTTATATGTGCTGGGTAAGCACTCTACCACTGAGTCACATCTCTGGCCCTTTGGCCCAGTTTTTTTTTTTTTTTTTTTTTTTAGGTATTAATTTATTTATTTATTTAATTTTTTTTTAAAGACAGAGAGAGAGAGAGAGAGAGAGAGGGTTTTTTTTTTTTTAATTTAAATTTTTTTAATGTTAAAACATTCATTTAGACAATAAAAAGCAAGAAAGGAGTAACAGAGTAACAAAGAACATGTTACAAATAGAAAGCAAATATATATTGATAGAACTTAACCCAACTATAACAACTACTTAAAATGTCAATGAACTATTTGAAGGATAGACTATCATACTAAATTTAAAATATCAAGACTGAACTACATGCTATCTACAAAGATATAATTTAAATACAAAGGCACAAATATGATGAAGGAAGAAGATATACCATGCAAATGATAAATGTAAGAAATTGGTAGCTATGTTAATATTAAAGTAGACTTCAAGCCAAAGAGACACTTCATAATGATAAAATAAATTAAGCAGGAAGCCATAATCCTAAGTGGGTTTGCCTCTCAGACTAGAACTTCAAAATGTATGAAATAACATCTGACAAAACTAAAGGGAGAGGCATACAAATCCACAATAATAATTGGAAACCTTAACACTCAGCAATTGACAGAACAAGTGGAAAGAAAATCAGCTTAACCATCTATCAAGTTACTAGCGTGCCTCTTTTTCTTTCTCTTTGAAGTACCTAATGTTACCCAATATGCTTAGAAGATATTAGAAAAATACAAATAATTCAATATACCTTTTCTAATCTAATCTTTATAAAATGCTATTTTTTTATTTTTTTTATTTTTTTAAATTTTTATTGTTGGTTCAAAACATTACATAGTTCTTGATATATCATATTTCACACTTTGATTCAAGTGGGTTATGAACTCCCATATTTACCCCGTATACAGATTGCAGAATCACATCAGTTACACATCCATTGATTTACATATTGCCATACTAGTGTCTGTTGTATTCTGCTGCCTTTCCTATCCTCTACTATCCCCCCTCCCCTCCCCTCCCCTCTTCTCTCTCTACCCCCTCTACTGTCATTCATTTCTCCCCCTTGTATTATTTTTCCCTTTCCCCTCACTTCCTCTTGTATGTAATTTTGTATAACCCTGAGGGTCTCCTTCCATTTCCATGCAATTTCCCTTCTCTCTCCCTTTCCCTCCCACCTCTCATCCCTGTTTAATGTTAATCTTCTTCTCCTGCTCTTCGTCCCTACTCTGTTCTTAGTTACTCTCCTTATATCAAAGAAGACATTTGGCATTTGTTGGCCCAGTTTTTGATTGGATCCTTTATTTTATTTATTGTTGAGTTTTGAGAGATCTTTGTATATTTTGGATAATATATATAGTCCTTTATGAAATATTTCTTTTAAAGTATTTCCTCCCAATCTGTGGCTTGTCTTCATTATCTTAACGGTATCTGTCACAGAAGAAATTTTTTATTTTAATAAATCCAGCTTATCAATACCTTGGTGGATTTGCCTTTGGTGTCATGTCTAAAAGCCATTGTCAAACCCACAGTCATCTAGGTTTTTGCCACTATGTCTTAGAATTTTTATAGTTTTACATTTTACATTTAGGTCTGTGATTCATTTCAAGTTCATGTTTGCAAAGACTCTAAGGCTTATGTTTAGACTAATTTAAAAAAAATTTTTGCATATGGTAACCAGTTTTCTCAGTTGTGTAGCATTCATTTATTTGTCATATAAGTTGATCATATTTATGTGACTCTGGGCTCTATTATGTTCTGTTTGTGTAAGTGTCTTTTCATCTGCCAATACCATACTCCCTTTACTTTATAGTTAAGTCTTGAAGTAAGTTTTCTAACTTTGTTCTTCTCCTTCAATATGGTGTTGGCTATTCTGGATTTTTTCCCCCTAGATATATAAACACGAGAATTTGTTGATACTTAAAGAATAATTTGCTGGGTTTTGATTGGGATTGCATTAATTCTTGGGTCAAATTGTGAAAAACTGGCATCCTCACAATATCAAGTCTTCCTGTCGCTGATTATGGACTATATCTCCATTTATTTAGTTGTTCTTTGATTTTTTACATCATAAATCATGTAGATGTCTACTCATTCTGTTAGATTTTTTACCTGTTTCATTTGGGGAGACTGTTGAATCACTATTAGTGAACTTTGGATATTAAATTAATGAAAGAAAGTTATACTTATTTGGAGGAGTACTGTATATGCTGCAGTTCCCACACATTAGTAAATGTGATGGTTTTTATTTTGGTAGCAAATGTGTTCAAGGTCATAAACAATTTTGTGGGGTTTTTTGTACCATGGATTGTACCCAGCCACTGAGCCACATCCCTAGCCCTTTTTATTTTTATTTTGAAACAGGATCTCATTAAGTTGCTTGGGGCCTCACCAATTTGCTCAGATTGTCTTTGATCCCCCAGCTTCAACCTCCCGAGCTGCTGAATTACAGTTACATGCCACTGTGCCTGGCAATAATTCATTCTTTGATTATTGAATAGGTTGGGGTGAAACATTTTTATTGTATAAAACACTCATTTTTCAAGGAATAGTGTAAACAGCATATGTGAAATGAAATACTGTACTTGATGAATTTTTTTTTTTTGCCTCATGCCATGGCCAAGGTGGAGACCATGGTCTAGATGGTGGTATAGTTTGATAAATTTTTGACAGTTAATCCCCAAAACAAATTATTGTCACCCCAGGGGGAGGCCTTTATCCTATCCTATTTAATGTTTTTACTAACATAAGTAAGAATTCTTTACAGTAAATAAAAACAATGCAGGTAAATAGTTTTACACATGGCATAAAGCTGGCAGGGGTACTTAATATACCTAAAAATAAAAATATATTAAAAAATAAAGCTGGGTGTAGTGGCACATAACTGTAATCCCAACTACTCAAGAGACTGAGGTAGAAGGATTGCAAGTTCAAGTTCAGCCTAGGCAATTTAGTATGATATCCTGTTTTTTTCAAATTTTTTTTTTTTTAAAGGGCTGGGATATAATTCAGTGCCACAGTACTTGCCTGGCATGTATAAGGTCTGATACTGAAAAGAAAAAAATTCTGGATGTTATGAAATAGGTCAAAACAAATAAGATTAGGAATAAATACAAAATGGTAGACTCATGGGAATGATCTTTTACTCATTGAGTCTTGAAAAAACATAACGTGATGGTACATGATCCAAATTCCTCATATTATAGATGGGCTTAATAGCAAAGGCTTTTTAGGCAAAGGCACAGTGTAAACAAACAGACTGACAAAAATCAGTATAGTGTTAAACTATGTTAATAAATGTGTTTTTCAGAATTAGTATAAATGGTTTTGGATATTGACAAATATAGAGAAGGGTAGTTTTGGTGATATAGGATCTTAAAGTCACGTCATTAAAAAAACTGTTGAAGTACCTGAAATATTTTATCTTGAGAAAGAGAATTTCCCTCTCTCTTCAGATACTTTCAAGGGTATATCATACAATAAGGCATACTTAATCTTTGTGATTCTAGTACACAAAGCTGGTTTATACAGAATTCTTTTTCTATCCTAACCCTCTCCAAGTTGCCTTTGCTAAATTGTTCTTTAATAGTATTTCATCTGAGAAATTCTAAGGAATCATCATATGGAAATAGTTTTTGTAGTTACTAAATCTGTAGTTGGAGACATGTTCATAATTGGAAGTTGTATGTGAAAAACTCTTTTAGACTTTAGTACCAGGAAAAATAGTTTTCTCTGGGCTTTCTTTCTTTTTGAAATGAAAAACAATTATTAATATTTTTTGTAGAAACATCCTAGCAAAACTTAGTAAATTGTATAACCAGTATATTTGCTTCTGCCTCTTTTTCCTGTTCCTGATTATTACAACATTTATTAAATAAATGACTTAGTAAGTAAGTAAACATTGTAAGTACTTTGGGTGGAAATTCTAAGATACAAGTTTAGTTTTACTACCAATTATTTATTAAGCATTAGAACTTACAAATTAAAGTAATTGTTTTGTGATAATTACTTTCCCATCAATGAAAGCATCCTAGTACATAAGCATATGTCAAACTGGGCAGATGTTAATGTTGTTTACAGAAATTCCTATAAAGGGATTGAACTAGAAAAATTTTCAGGCTTATTGAAAAGTTTTTTTTTTTTTCTTTTTCTTTTTTAGTTGTTGACAGACCTTTATTTTATTTATTTATACATGGTGCTGATAATCGAACTCGGTGCCTCACACATGCCAGGCAAGTGAGCCACATCTCCAACCCAAAAGGTTATTTTTCTGTCATGCTTCAGCATATATTTAGGAGAGGTATTCCAGTTTATGAGGTAGTAAGGTTTAGCTAACCTGCTAACTAAAGTTCACTGAGAAAAATATCCAAGGGAAGTACATTGAACATTTAGGTAATAAATTTTTATTGAATAATTGCTAAATATATGATTAACTTTGTGTTAGACTCTGGGTATATTATCCCTTCCAAATTAAATTACAATGTAATGGATAGCCAAACAATTAAATTAATCACTATGTTATAACACTGTGCTCAAACAAATATTTTACATATGGTTAGTTAGCTCATATGATTTTTTTAAAGAGAGAGAGAGAGAATTTTAATATTTATTTTTTTTTTAGTTTTCGGCGGACACAACATCTTTGTTTGTATGTGGTGCTGAGGATTGAACCCAGGCCACACGCATGCCAGGCGAGCGCGCTACCACTTGAGCCACATCCCCAGCCCCAGTTCATATGATTTTTAATAAGAGTTGACATTCATTAGGAGAAAAATGCTAACCCATTTTGTCCCAAGATTTCAATTTTATAGGTGTAGGACACCTATAAAAATTTAAACCTATCAACGAATATACCACTTAAGGTAACTTTGAAATAATATTTGAGTAATATGTTCACAGAATTGAAAACTTGAGACTTAATGGGATAATAGGCGTGGCATGATGTGGAAGTGAAGTACCAGACTTCAAAGCCAATATGCAGCTTTCTTGAGTTGTAACTACTGTGTTTCTTTTCACATTCTTTTTAAAAATACTTTATTTTAGTTGTAGTTGGATGTAATACCTTTATTTTATTTTTATGTTGTGCTGAGGATCGAACCCAGTGCCCTGCATGTGCTAGATGAGCGCTCTACTGCTGAGCCACAACCCCAGCCCTCCCTTTTCACATTCTTTATCTTCCTTTGAACTTGCCATTGAGTGGAACTTATTCGCTCCAGTTGTATATTTGATAAAATCATGTTGAATTTCGGAATCCAGCAAAGGTCAATATTACTATGGCAAATTTGGGTTTAATTTTATAGGACTAAATAGAAATGTACCACAATATTTTAAGTCTACTTAGTATCACTAAAAACTTGTTATTAGGAACAGCAATGTGTTTCCAAATTGTGAACCCTCCAAAAAAAAAAAAAAAAAAAGTTTTTTATCCTTTCAAAGTTTTTTATTACCTACTTTTCACAGATATTTAGTACGTGGCATTTTCATTTGGTTCAGCTTGATTTCAAATTAGGAATTAGGAACTGGCCATTTTAATTTATTAATACATTAGTTCATTCAGCATTTATCATGTCTATTACTTAACAAACCCTCTACTTGATTCTAGGACTGTGGAAATGATTGTCACTTGCTTTCCAGGAATAACAATCTAAAAAAGAAAAAGAAAAAAAAAACTATGAACCAAGAAGTGTAACATATTATAACATATGCACTGATAGTGGTAGGCATAAATGTATAGCACACCTACTAAATTTAACTTAGTATCTGTGTTTGAATGCATACTATTCTTTCTTTTTCTTTTTTTTTTTAAGGTCCTTTTCCATGTGATATATGTGGACGTCAGTTCAATGACACTGGAAATTTGAAACGCCACATAGAATGTACTCATGGTGGAAAAAGAAAATGGACTTGCTTTATTTGTGGAAAATCAGTACGAGAAAGGTGAAGATTTATCTGCATACACAGACAAATTTTAGCACTTTTATGTAAAAAATAATTATTATGAATTTGGCTTATGAAGTGTAGAGTAACTCAAGACACAAAATACCTGAATACTGCTTTAGTTTAAAATATAAAGAAAAAAGAAGAAATTATATGAAATATTGTAGCTAATGATATGGAGCCAGGATTTGCAGGTTTAGATGATTGATTTAACTTACATTTCATTTGTTTTTGAAATCCCACTAAAATATATTAAAGGCATTATGTTTGCTTTTTAAAGACATTAAGCTACAAAGAGAAGAGAAAGATAACATGGCAGCTCAGGTTTGAAAGCTATATAGCGGGTGAATCACTTCTAACTGACTTAGTACATCTAAGAAAAGACAAATCCCAAAGGACCATGGGAAATGGAAAAAGCCTAGTTTGTCACAGAATCCACACAAGGTATAGGAACTAGCAGTATTGAGTACCACTGGAACTCTCTAGTGAAGGAGAGACAGATCAAAAGCACTAGAGTAAAAACTTTGAAAGTTTTCAAAGTTAGATCATTAGATTCTTTTCCATAGACCCAATGTGCCATTTCTGCTGGGCATCAGCCCTTTTCCCAAAAGAGGATTGCAGGACTAGAATATGCCACAATGTTATATGATTAAATGCCTTGTGAATGTTGAAAGGAGTAAGCCCTAGGGATTCTTCTGCTAATATCTTGTCCCTATCACTGAATCATGAGCAGATAGTCAAAGATTATAAGATGTAGAGGAAAACCTTTAACATGGAAAATAGATTACAGCACAAACAGAGGGGGTGGAAAAAGGATTGTAAGGAAACAGATTATGAAGAAAGAAGAAAACTTTTTTCTTTTAAGTAAACAATTACTAATTGTTTTCCCAGTTGAAGATTCAGAATCCATTATATAAGGGTAGGATACTGTAGGAAAGGATCACTTAATAAATCTCCTAGAAATTCAAAGCATGATGGCCAGAGTATAGATATCAATTGGAGAGCTAAAGGATAAATAGTGAAGGAAAAAAGGTGCAAAAATATAAAAAATAAAGATGAGATCATTAGAGGATCAGGGAAATCTAGCATCTGAATAGGAATTTCAGAAAGAATAGAAATAACATGGAGGGCTGGAAATTTATTTTTAATAATGCAAGATTATATCCTGAACTGAAGAATATCAATTGCCAGATAGAAATGACCCAGCAGATGCTTAGGTCATTAGATGAAAATATACATCACTGATATTTCAGAGCACCAGAGACAAAGAAACTATAAAAAGTTATATGCTTTTCGTGGTGTAGGGTCACATACATTGAATAGAATTACTTGGAGTTTTCTCAACAGCAACACTAGAAATAAGATGATGTAATAGTACTTTGAAAATTTGGAAAAAAAATAATCCCATCCTACAGTTCTTAAAAGAAAACATTTGCATCTGAGAGTAGAATTTGACACGTTTTCATGGTGTTAAAAAATAGCTTTTAATGTCCTATTTCTCATGAACTAATACAGAGTGTGTACTACCAAAATGCAAGAATAATCTCTCAAAGGGGAAGACAAGGGCTACAGGAAAACAAAGTTCTAACATAGGAGACAAGCAAAGGGCATTGACAGGAGGATAGTACATGAAAATACCAAAATGTCAGATATGTGACATATGCAATGGGTAGTCCATATTGATATTAGTGCGGTCTAAGACTTGTTGAGGGTTGTCGTTGGTTAGATTACTTGCTAGCATTTTTATCTTTTAATTAGGAGAACAGAATACTAGAGGAGGTCTGGTTTATTGCCTCTATTCACTCTCTTTAGAACTTCTGTATGCTAATGTTAATTAAGGATATTTAATTTCTTCCACAGAAATTTTATTTTGGGGCTATCCTCAGAATAAAACAACAACAAAAAGGGAATAATTATGTCTGAGGAGGGAGTAAAAAATGAGATTAAGGAGAAGCATTAAGTCTTAATCTGCACATGAACTTAATGCTATTGTAAACAGTACATATAAATTTTATACACTCTTCAGGATGTGAAAGTTTCATAGTCTAAAGCAGTGAGAAATGTCTTTTTCTTAAAACAATAGATGGATATGATGGAGGTATAGGAAAATCATTTTAGTACATTATATAAAATCATTTATAGATAGAAAAATACAGACTATTGTTTGGGCATAAATTAATTTTTCTACTAATAGTATTTCTGTAAAAATAAAAAGTAAGCCAAAAGAAAAACAAAGATAATTCTTCTATCTTTTTACTATAACTACTTAGAAGGTAGGGGTCTGGTTATTTTGGGGGGGTATTTTCCTCAGTGCTGGAACTGTTACTTGTCAAGTGTTGGTGGTCCTTGTAGAAGTGCACCATCTGCTGGTGCTGGTGGAGCTTGACTTTCATTTCATATTAAGCCTTTTAATGAGACTGAAATTTAAAACAAACTACTATTGACAGCTAAAAGCCTGCAAGTCTTACTTGCTTTTCATTTCCTTTCCTCTGGTAAATAACATGTCCATGTTTACTTAGCACGTTAGTATGTGGGGAAATTCTGAATGTTAGAATTTCAGGGACTGCTGGTTGTGGTTTACTTGGAGCTGTAATGGTTACACACTAGCCCATCCAGGTCAGTGGGACTGGAAGACTTAGGAAGAGCAAAAATTATATCCTTTATATAGATTCCTTTTATACATCACCACCTGAAACTCAGTAACACCTGTATTGTTTTCTTTGCCTTAAAACATCTAACAAGTAATGAGCACACAATTGGAAGGAAAAACTGATAAACTGAATTCCTTAAATATTTTCAACCTTCTGTACTAAAATCCACATACGTTTTACCCAATTCAGTAGTGATAATTGAGCATTTTTTACTTACACTTCTTCAAAGTGTGCTTAAGTTGTACAGTTAAATCTGTAAGCAACCAATAACAAAGAATGCCACAATCAGTGTTTTTAATTTTTTTTTAATGAGAAAGACATGACAAGCATATTTGTGTACTGCTGAGAGTAAAAATATTGTAGGAAAAAGAATTGCTATTATATCTCTAGCTTTGTATACCATTCTATTAATCTTTCTGGAAATTTGTAGTATATACATGGGTATATAATAAAACTTTAAATTTATGTATTTTTAACAGAACTACTTTGAAAGAACATTTGAGAATCCATAGTGGAGAAAAGCCTCATCTTTGTAGTATTTGTGGACAAAGTTTTCGACATGGAAGCTCATACAGGTAAATAAAGCTATTTTTCCCTATGTGAGGTAAGATACAATTACATCTCCATTTTATTTATTTCTTATAATGTTTTTTATTGAATATTTCTAAACATGATATATAAAGTTGTACAAAAAGCTTTCTGTTCTCTACAGTTTTTAATATTTATTTGCATTTTAAAGGATTCATAAAGAATATTATTAAATGTTTCCTCATTGCCAAATTTACTAAAGGTTTTATACTAAGTTATTATTCTAATATTTATCTATTTTTCCTTGAATGAGAATTTATTTGGAACCTTTTTGTTTCAAATTTGGTGTTGTTTGTTTGTTTGTTTGTTTTTGCTTTTGTTTTTGTTTGCAGTACTAAGGATCCAATCCAGGGCCTTGAGCATGCTAGGCAAATGCTAAATCATTGAGTTACGTTCCCAGCTCTATTTCTTCATTCTTCATTATACAAGAATATCTTTTTTTTTTTTTTTTTTTTTTTTGTTATTTTATTTTTTTTTTTATTGTTGGTTTTTCAAAACATTACATAGTTCTTGATATATAATCTTTCACACTTTGCTTCAAGTGAGTTATGAACTCCCATTTTTAGCCCATATACAGATTGCAGAATCACATCAATTACACATCCATTGATTTACATATTGCCATACTTGTGACTGTCATGTTCTGCTACCTTTCCTATCCTCTACTATCCCCCCTCCCCTCCCCTCCCCACCCTTCTTCTCTCTCTACCCCCCCTATTGACCTTCATTTCTCCCCCTTGTATTATTTTTCCCTTTCCCCTCATTTCCTCTTGTATGTTCTTTTGTATAACCCTGAGGGTCTCCTTCCATTTCCATGCAATTTCCCTTTTCTCTCCCTTTCCCTCCCACCTCTCATCTCTGTTTAATGTTAATCTTCTCATGCTCTTCGTCCCTACTCTGTTCTTAGTTACTCTCCTTATATCAAAGGAGACATTTGGCATTTGCTTTTTAGGGATTGGCTAGCTTCACTTAGCATAATCTGCTCTAGTGCCATCCATTTCCCTGCAAATCAACAAGTACATGAAAAAATGCTCACCATCTCTAGCAGTCAGAGAAATGCAAATCAAAACCACCCTAAGATACCATCTCACTCCAGTAAGATTGGCAGCCATCATGAAGTCAAACAACAACAAGTGCTGGCGAGGATGTGGGGAAAAGGGTACACTTGTACATTGCTGGTGGGACTGCAAATTGGTGCAGCCAATTTGGAAAGCAGTATGGAGATTTCTTGGAAAGCTGGGAATGGAGCCACCATTTGACCCAGCTATTCCCCTTCTTGGTCTATTCCCTAAAGACCTAAAAAGAGCATGCTACAGGGACACTGCTACATCGATGTTCATAGCAGCTCAATTCACAATAGCAAGACTTTGGAACCAACCCAGATGCCCTTCAATAGACGAATGGATTAAAAAAATGTGGCATTTATACACAAGAATATCTTTAGTATAAAAACATGGCAAGTTTAAAACTCTAGAATTCTCAATTTTATGAATGAATCTCTGACCACATTTGAAGTTTATGAAAATGTTTTTCTAGATATATAACTGCTTTTTGGAAATGCTTGCATCATTTTAATTTTATGAATGGTTTCTAGAATTTTAGTCGTAAGGCTTTAGTGTTTACACTTTCATTTATTATTTTCCTCTTAAATTTAGATAGATTGTTTTTCCTTTAGATGCAGTCCAGTTAGATTACTGATTTTAGTTATGGTAGAATCAACACTTATTTTGGCAACTTGAATGAGAAAGCTCTTCATTTTACTAGGAGATATATATATATATATATATATATATATATATATATATATATACTGTATATGTGACAAAAGATGTGTGTGTGTGTGTGTGTGTGTATAGACACACACACATTGTATGTATATATAATAGATTGTAGGGATAGAAGAATTCAAGTTAAATCAATTTTAATAATCGAAACCTTTATAATCTGTGTTTGAATGACTATAAAAGGAGTTCCATTTTCCTCAACTAGTGCAAAGAGTGGTAAAGTGTAATTTTCATAATGTTGAGTTCTTTTATAATACAATAAATTCTGAACTATCAATTTATAAGTGGTATCACTTGTCTTCTGGAATAGTACTAATCTTCAGTTATTTGCTGTGTTATTTGCTATTATTATTATCATGTGTTTAGTCATTTGTACAGTTATTCCATTTGTCTGATTCTATTCCTGTAATATTCCTCCTTTCGATGTTTCTAAGACTTGGCCAGTCAGATAACAACCCCAGATATTTGGTAGATTCATGAAATAGATTTAAGATCTAACAGGTTGGGAAGAAATATTATCCAAAAGTGGTTTAAGCATGTGCACATGTTAAAATGCTTTTTTGGAAGTGATGAATAGAACCCTGGGGCCAATCAACAGAAGACTGAGAAAGGCTCTGAAAGTCAGATAAAAGACAAATAGTACCTGAAGGAGGTTGGGTAGACAGCCCATTTTTCATTATTTATTCATTTTCAAGTATTTGTCATCAGTTTCAGTGGTCTGCACTTTTTTTTCTTTATAGGCTTCACTTACGAGTACATCATGATGACAAAAGATATGAGTGTGATGAATGTGGAAAAACATTTATTCGTCATGACCACCTTACAAAGCACAAAAAAATACATTCAGGTAGGCTATATTTTGTTTTTTTATTTTCAGAATTTTTTAATACCTAAAAAGAACATCATAATGTTCTTTTTAGAACATTTTCTGAAAGAAGCATCTAAAAGAGAAGTAATTTTATGACATTCCCTGAAATTTTAATCATATATTTGGTCACCCTTTGTTGACTACAAAGTATAGTTTAAAATTTAATTTTAAACAAATTCTCAAAAAATTTGAATTTGCATATCATGGTGATATGTGGAATTATTGCTATTGTCACATCCCTAACGGAAGAAACTGTGATAATATTTCCCACTTTGATTGTATTTGAGAAATAGTTAGCAAAATTTTGGTGTTTTAAAGGAAAATGATTGTAATTGTTTATGTTATACTAAATTTTGAAAGCATCTTTGGAAAAAGAGTATTTTAATAATCTTGATCAATTTCAGATCTTTATACTGTATTTATAATTTTTACATTCTGGGGATTTCTTTCATATTTTCCTCTTAGATTGATGTTCAGGAAGTTCTAAGAGAGTCAACTATGTGAGCACAATAATGGGAAAGAGCCATCTCTAAGAGCACAGTAGAACAGGTGATTATTCTAATAAGCATAATTTAAAATATAAAGTATACAACAAATAATAGTTATTTTCTTAAATCATATCAGTGAGGCAGATTGCAGTTATTTTCAATTTTTTGTAATTTTTAGTTTTTTTTTTTATTTTTTTACTATTGGGGATTGAACCAGGGCACTTGACCACAGAGCTGCATCCCCAGCCCTTTTTTGTATTTTTATTTATAAACAGGTTCTTGCTGAGTTGCTTAGTGCCTCGCTTTTGCTAAGGCTGGCTTTGAACTCAAGATCCTCCTGCCTCAGCCTCCCTAGCCACTGGATTACAGATGTGCGCCACCACACCCAGCTGAGATAGTGATTTTTAAAGACCAAGTATTTGTAGCTAAATGTAAAAATAGGAAATCACCTAGGATTTTTCATTACATTTGCATTTTGGCTCATTGCAAAAGTAAGAAATCCCACAGATGAAAATCTTTCAAAAGCAAAGTACAAAGATCTGAAATGTTCAGGTCCTTTTTATAAATAGTAAAACAGCCTCTTTTCAATGTAATGTATGTTCATTTGAGGTGTTTCACATCTAGACATATATATCTATATAAACAACTAAAAAATATCCTGGGTTTTAAAGTAATTTCATTTATTTTGCTCTTTTACATTGAAAGGTACGATTTGAAATCTAGAGCAGAAGGCTGTTAATTTCTTTTCCAAGTGGATAAAGGATTTACATTCGTGAAATTAAATATAGATTCCCTAAGGAAAGATGTTTAAGAAAGGAATATAAAGGAAATAGCCCAGAATAATAGGTGGTTTTACTTTCTTGGTTTGTTTCCTAGCATGTGATCTTATTGTTTGGTCATTTATTTATGGGGGGGGGGAAAACAAACTGAAATGTATACTATAATCAAAGTATTTGGAACTTTATTTTTAGGTGAAAAGGCTCATCAGTGTGAAGAATGTGGAAAATGTTTTGGTCGTAGGGATCATCTCACTGTTCATTACAAAAGTGTGCACCTTGGTGAGAAAGTGTGGCAAAAGTGAGTGAAAAAGTAAAATTTTTCATAATTACTACATAGGCTGAGTCTTGATTGAGGAAGAGTTAGAGCTTTTTGTTTAATTAGGGATAGGTTAATCAGCTGTTTTTTTTTCTAGTTTATCATAGCTTCTTTATAGATCTTAAAGAATTGAGCAAGGCATATTTTTTCCTACTTATTTTCACTGAATTGAAGGAGTAAGAGGTGGTAGACATAGACTTTGACTTAAATAATACTCTTTTGCAAATATCTTAGTCCTCACAATTAAATTTTACATTTGAGATTATTTAACTCAAAAATACTCTTAGGCACTACAGTATGCTGCTCACTAAGTTAACTTTTGGGTAATTTATAGTTTTATGTCTATGATAAAAATGAGGGGCAAGTATTTCATTCCTTGAAATTTATTTGATTTATAAGTGCAAATATCAAATATTTATTATAAAGTGAAATGATGAGAGCATTGTCAACTTTTTGATGAATGTGAATTTTGAGATTGCTGCAGTTTCTAATCAGCCTCAGTATTTGTTTCTTTAATGTTTTAATTTACATAAAGTAAAATTTTCTCTTTTTAGAGAATAGTTCTGTAAGTCATATAATCACTACCATCAGAATACAGACTATTTCCATAACCTCAGAATTTGTACCCTTTGTACTCAGTTGCTCTTCCCTTTAGCCCACTATTGATCTGTTTTTGTCCTATTAATTTTTTCTTGTATATTTAAATAGCTGATATTAAAAAGTGATTTAAAACAGTTGAGAATCTGAAGGCTTCTTTTTATGGATTTTTTAATATAACTGGAGGAATAAGAACCAGCAACAAGCTCCATACCTAAAAGTATCCATGTTTCTGTAGAGTTCTATGCTTTATTCATATGATAATTATATGTACAGTTATAAAATTGGAACTTATTTTCATTATTATTAAAAATTACATTGAAAAATGCAAACATTTTTATTTTCTTAGATATAAAGCAACCTTTCATCAATGTGATGTTTGTAAGAAAATTTTTAAAGGAAAATCAAGTCTGGAAATGCATTTTCGGACACATTCAGGTAAGACTTAATGGGTACTTCATATATACTTTGGTGAGGTTATTCAGGAGTAAAATATGCCCATATTTGTTCTTGGTTAAATCATTTTCCTCATTAAGATGTCTACTCATTATATTGGAGTTTATGTGAATAAGCAATATTGGTCTTCTAGTCTGTACTGTATTCTAAAAGCTTCAGTACTTTTGAATATCATTATTTAGAATTTGGAAAATTATTCTCCTATGTGGCTTATTCTCATCCATACATGTTTTGCTTATGTAATCCTCAGAGTAGTGATTATATATTTACTTCAATAGTTGTCTTGTTGAAACAGTAATACATTAGTTAAAATTGGCATAAACTGATAGAAATCTGGGATTGGATTTTAGCCTTGGTTCATATTTTTAAGTCCAAGGTAAATTGTCTTTATAAGATCTTTGTGCTGTAGTATAGCATATAAAGTGTACAAATCTTAATGGACAGATCAATGAGTTTTTATAATTAATATGTCAATGTAGCCACCCCTCAGATCAACATGTAGAATACTGCCAGGACCCCAGAGGCATCTTCCCTGTCCCCTCCTTGCAGAGATAATGACTATGTTGACTTATATCAATAAAAATTAGTTGTGTCTGTTTGAACCTCATATAAATGGAATTACATAATAAGAACATTTTTTTTTTTCAAGATCTGGCTTTCACTCAAAAGTATGTCTGTGAGATACTTTTATGAGAGGTTTATTTTTATTCTCTCTTTTTTTTTTTAATTTTTTATTGTTGGCTGTTCAAAACATTACATAGTTCTTGATATATCATATTTCACACTTTGATTCAAGTGGGTTATGAGCTCCCATTTTTACCCCATATACTGATTGCAGAATTACATCAGTTACACATCCATTGATTTACATATTGCCATACTAGTGTCTGTTGTGTTCTGCTGCCTTTCCTATCCTCTACTATCCCCCCTCCCCTCCCCTCCCCTCCCCTTTTCTCTCTCTGCCCCCTCTACTGGCATTCATTTGTCCCCCTTGTATTATTTTTCCCTTTCCCCTCACTTCCTCTTGTATGTACTTTTGTATAACTCTGAGGGTCTCCTTCCATTTCCATGCAATTTCCCTTCTCTCATATTATTCTCATATTAATATACCCTACTTTATTTTGTCCATTCTACTGTGAAGGAAGAATTGCTTAGTTCTTTGAACAGTCTTGTCCATATTTTTGCATAAACATGCAAAAAAAATTAATTATTCTGGTATTATACCTGACCCTGCAATTCCTGGCAATGAGGATAGACATTACTAAACAGGTTTTTAAGACAATTGTGTCCATTTGTACTACCACTAGCAGTGTAAGAATTCTAGTTGCTCCACATTTTCACAAACGTTTCATATTTTGTGTTAGTTCACCTGATGGATGTGTAGTACTATTTGAAAGTAGCCTTTATTTGCATTTTTGTGATGAGTAGTGATATTCAAACCTCCCCATATTTTATATGCTTGCTGGCCATTTGGGCATCCACTATTATAATTAATTCTTCTCATTTTCTTAAATCTTTTTTTAAATTCATTTGTAAGAGTTCTTTCTATATTAGTTGTATTAGTCTGTTGCTAATTGTATATATTGTAGATATCTTGTTCTACTCTATGACTTATCTTTTCACTTTAGTAATGGTATCTTTCTTTTTTTTTGAAAAAAAAATTTTTTCAGTTGTCTATAGACTTTTATTTTATTTATTTATTTTTATTGGTGCTGAGGATCGAACCCAGTGCCTCATACCTGCCAAGCAACCACTCTACCACTGAGCTACAAACCCATCCCTGGTAATGGTATCTTTCAATGAACAAAGATTCTGAATTTTAAAGACATCATGTATCTTTTCAAAAGTTTTTATATTTATGTTCTTTTCTCTTTAAAGAAACTTTTTTTTATAATATGACTTATTTTATTTTTTTAATTATATATGACAGTGGAATGCATTACAATTCTTATTACACATATAGAGCACAATTTTTCATATTTCTGGTTGTATACAAAGTGTATTCACACCAATTCGTGTCTTTATACATGTACTTTAAAAAATTTTTTTTTTAATTTTTATTTTTCCCTTAGTTGTTGATAGATCTTTATTTTATTTATTTATACGTGGTGCTGAGAATTGAACCCAGTGCCTCACACATACAAGGCAAATGCGCTACCACTGAGCCATAGTCCCAGCCCTATACTTGTACTTTTGATAATAATGATCATCACATTCCACTATCATTTATAACCCCCATACACCTTTTCTTCCCCTCCAACCCCTCTGCCCTATCTAGAGTTCGTCCGTTCCTCCCATGCTCCCTCTCCCTATCCCACTATGAATCAACCTCCTTATAGCAAAGAAAACATTCGGCTTTTGCTTTTGGAGATTGGCTAACTTCACTTAGCATTATCTTCTTTAACCTCAACCATTTACCTGCAAATGCCATGATTTTATTCTTTTATTGCTGAGTAATATTCTATCATATATATATGCCACATTTTTTTATCCATTAATCTATTGAAGGGCATCTAGGTTTGTTCCATAGTTTAGCTATTGTGAATTATGCTGCTATAAACATTGATGTGGCTGTGTCCCTGTAGTATGCTGTTTTTAAGTTCTTTGGTACAGACTGAGGAGAGGGATAGCTGGGTCAAATGGTGGTTCCATTCTTAATTTTCCAAGAAATCTCTGTACTGCTTTCCAAATTGGCTGCACCAATTTGCAGTCCCACCAGCAGTGTATGAGTGTACCTTTTTCCCCACATCCTAGCCAATACTTATTGGTGTTTGTTTTCATAAAAGCTACCATTCTGACTGGAGTGAGATGAAATCTTAGAGTGGTTTTGACTTGCATTTCTCTAATTGCTAGTGATGATGAACATTTTTTTCATATATTTGTTGGTTGATTGTATATCATCTTCTGAGGAAGTGTCTCTTCAGGTCCTTGGCCCATTTATTGATTGGGTTATTTGGTTTTTTTGGTAGTTAGCTTTTTGAGTTCTTTATATACCCTAGAGATTAGTGCTCTATCTGATGTGTGAAGGGTAAAGATTTGCTACCAAGATGTAGGCTCTCTATTCACCTCACAGATTGTTTCTTTTGCTGAGAAGAAACTTTTTAGTTTGAGTCCACCCCATTTATTGATTCTAGATTTTAATTCTTGTGCCACAGGAGTCTTATTAAAGAAGTTGGGACCTAATCTCACATGATGGAGATTAGGGCCTACTTTTTCTTCTTTTAGACACAGGGTCTCTGGTTTTATCCCTAAGTCCTTGATCCATTTTGAGTTGAGTTTCATGCATGGTAAGAGATAGGGGTTTAATTTCATTTTGTTGCATATGGATTTCCAGTTTTTCCAGCACCATTTGTTGAAGAGGCTACCTTTTCTCCAGTGCATATTTTTGGCAACTTTGTCTAATATAAGGTAATTGTACTTTTGTGGGTTAGTCTCTGTGTTCTGTACCATTGGTCTACCAGTCTGTTTTGGTGCCGTTACCATGTTGTTTTTGTTACTATTGCTCTGTAGTATAGTTTAAGGTCTGGTATGGTGATGCCACCTGCTTCACTCTTCTTGTTAAGGATTGCTTTAGCTATTCTGGGTCTCTTATTTTTCCAGATGAATTTCATGATTGCTTTTTCTATTTCTATGAGGAATGTCATTGGGATTTCGATTGGAATTGCATTAAATCTGTATATTGCTTTTTGAAGTATGGTCATTTTGATAATGTTAATTTTGCCTGCCCAAGAGCAAGATAGATCTTTCCATCTTCTAAGGTCTTCTTTGACTTCTTTCTTTAGGGTTCTATAGTTTTCATTGTATAGATCTTTCATCTCTTTCATTAAGTTGATTGCCAAGTATTTTATTCTTTTTGAGGCTATTGTAAATTGGGTAGTTTTCTACATTTCCATTTCTGAGGATTTATTACTGATATACAGAAATGCCTTTGATTTATAGGTGTTGATTTTATATCCTGCTACTTTGCTGAATTCATTTACTAGTTCTAGAAGTTTTCTGGTGGAACTTTTAGGGTCTTCTAGTTATAGAATCATATCATCAGCAAATAGTGCCAATTTGAGTACTTTTCCTATGTGTTATTTCTTTAATTTCTTTCACCTAATTGCTCTGGCCAGTGTTTCAAGAACTATGTTAAATAGAAGTGGTGAAAGAGGGCATCCCTGTGTTCCAGTTTTTAGAGGGAATGCCTTCAGTTTTTCTCCATTTCGAATGATATTGGCCTGGGGTTTAGCAAAGATAGCCTTGATGATGTTGAGATATGTTCCTGTTATCCCTAATTTTTCTAGTGTTTTAAACATAAAGGGGTACTGTATTTCATCAAATGCTTTTTCTGCATCTATTGAGATGATCATATAATTCTTTTCTTTAAGTCTATTGATGTGATGAATTACATTTATTGATTTCCGTATGTTGAACCAACCTTGCATCCCTGGGATGAATCTCACTTGATTGTGGTGCATGATCTTTTTGATATGTTTTTATATTCGATTTGCGAGAATTTTATTGAGAATTTTTACATCTGTGTTCATTAGAGATATTGATCTGAAGTTTTCTTTCTTTGATGTGTCTTTGCCTGGTTTTGGAATCAGGGTGATATTTGCCTCATAGAATGAGTTTGGAAGTGCTCTCTCTTTTTCTATTTCCTGAAATAAATTGAAGAGTATTGGTATTAGTTCTTCTTTAAAGATCTTGTAGAACTCAGTTGTGTATCCATCCAGCCCTGGGTTTTTCTTGTTTTTTTAGACTTTTGATGGCATCTGCTATTTTGTCACTTGAAATTGATTATCCTGATTCAATTTGGGCAAATTATATGACTCTAGAAATTTGTAGATGCCTTCGATATTTTCTATTTTATTGGAGTACAAGTTTTCAAAATAATTTCTAATTATCTTCTGTATTTCTGTATTGTCTGTTGTGATATTTTCTTTTTCATCACCTGTGTTAGTGATTTAGTTTTCTCCTTCTCTTTGTTAGCATGGCTG